GGTGCTCAACACGTCATGTCTTGAGTGCTAGGAAGCCAGCAGCTCCTGCCCTCACCCAAATATCTTCATCTCTATCACTAGGAATGTCTATATACAGGACGAAGTTGGTCGAATGCCCCGTCGTCAACAGTGTGCCTCGACGACTAACCACTTGTAGATAGGGCAGCGGAGGATACCCTTCGGCTGCTCTCGATCAACCACAGGTAAGAAGTGAATAGGAGGGAGTTCACAGAAGAGCTCCTTGGGAAGCGAGTCAGCTAAAAGATGGGCTGAAATACAAAACACGCCATAAAAGAAGGAAGACAGACCCAACCGACCTGTTGAATCCCATCGGCAACCTTCAAGGAATATACCATAAACATAGACACCCTCAGCAGCACGCTCCTGAACAGTAGGAGACTGTCAACTCTTGCAAGGCACGAGACATGCCGTTGTCGTCTCGGGCGAGCGCTTATTCACTCACTGTGATTTCATCCACTCTACGGTCGTCCAATATGGTGAAGTCGAAGGCGAGTCTATCAATAGCGACTTTCTTCGATCTCGAGAAGTTCTATAAGAGGACACCATAGCCAGCGAGGAAGTGTCGGAGTGCCTCCTCATACTTGCAGGGTGCCCGTGAGGAATGCTTGAGGGAAGAACAACCCACTGATCCAAAACGCCGGAGGAACTCCATTTTCAACCCACTTCTTCATGAACGCCACGCGATCGATCAGATCCGCCAGCCTGAGGAACAACCCTAATCTCCAACACTAGTAACCGGGCCCACCAGGAGCTCAGGGGCTTCAACGAGAGGAACCCTTTATCGGCCCATGCTTCCGGCACTTGATTGGTCAGGAAGGCGCTCCCCATCTGACGAGAACATTGCCAAGGGAACAGCGCACTACGAAGGATACCTTCTCCAGTGATTCACTCATCACCACCAGACCCTTGAGGGCCCTCTGAAGCTCCGGAACCGTCGACCTTATCTCCTCTAGCAAACGATTGTATCGCAGAACCTGAGCGTTTGTATATCACACAGCCACCATCAAAACTGAGGAGCACCTCTTGTCTCAGCACAGTGTTCATGCTTTCCTCGTACAACGGTGGATAGGCTTCCTCCACGGCCAACATGTCGAACAATTGAGGCACCTAACAACGACCACAGGTCTCTCTAAAGGGTTGCTATCCCCCACGACAGGCTGGTGCAGTGTGGCAAAATATTCAAAATTCTTAGAAGTTCTTGTTAGTTTCTGTACACTTCTACCGAGTAATTAGAGTGAAAACTCCCGGGCTCAGCTGAGGGAATCGAGTAGCTCACCTTATCCAAGACTCCCTCCGCCACCTCATTCATCAACTCCGCCGTAGACTGACCGCCGGCTCCACTGCCCGTCTGCGGTGCCATCGCCAGTATACCTGACACGCTCTACCACAGACTAAGGAAACCATGAACACTCACCAGAGAGGAGCTCGTCAGACTCTTGCTTCGCAAATGCAATACTGCAGTTCTCGTGCATGCCAAACACCTACACGACAGCAGCTACCACTGTGACAACTATACAAAGGCTTACCTCCGGTGACGGCTCGAGCGGTAGAGTTTTGATATACTCCATGAACTCCAACTGTGTAGTGCCAACTGGACAGTAATATAAACCAGACGCCGAGTACCTACCACACCACCGTCAACTCCCACCGAAAACTATGATGCCACTCCCTACTTGTAACCCTCCGGACCACGCCTCTCCACGACCTCAGGACAAATGAATGTCCGCAGAATGCACCCTATCAACCGCTTATCTTTATCGTCAGTCACTCGGCCGCCATAGTTTATAGACGCTCCCAGATAATTCAAAACTTTATACGGGATCTCCTCGTAGTCGTCAATAAACGACTTCAACTGTCTTCGACACACCATCAAATCTTCCATAGTAAACCCGTAGGGAATGTTCCAGCCAATCGGTCCAAATTTTCGCCGTTCTTGAACCACCGCATGGAAAAAGCAAAAACCAAACAACAACGGTTGAAATGCCTCCGGCTTCGAACAGTCACTCAGCGTCTTATCATCCAACCCAGCGTAACTCCTCAATAGATTCGCCCTCAGACCCTTGGGGGGCTCATTGGTCATTTTCACACCATTCTGCAGTAGCAACGGCGGGAACGCTTTGCTCGGCATCGACGTCAGCCACAACCTAAACCTCGGGTTCACCTCCTCCCCACTCAACTGCTCGCAGATTCGCTCCAACTGTGGCATCCAGCTGATCGCCAAATGGCAATTTTGCAGAAGTACCCAGCCCCCCGACTTAGTCGATCTCTCGATCATTCTCGAGGCCTTCGGGCCTTGACCCTGTCCAAGTGATATACTCTGTAACCGTTTAGACATCTGCTTCTCTTCAGCGAAGGTGAGCATATCAGCCACGGGATCCGACCCCGCCGACAGGACAAATATAAGTGGCGTTAAACACGTAGAATCACCGTAGGAAAGTGCAATATCAAACGTTGGAGGTTCCACGAACTTCCTCCCCAACTTCTCCGTCACATATCCAACCACAGCGTTGGTGATCTTCCCTGGTCTGATCGTGCGCAGAATGAGCATCTTCTGGAAGGAGTCAAGCGATTCATCTAAACCAGCTGGGAGCGGACACTCATGAGCTTCGGGATGATCATAAATACGCTGAAACATTTTGATCAAAAATGTGCCGCAAAAGTCGACCTACTTTGAAACCATCCACATCAGCTGTGATCTTCTCAGTGAGGCCCTCAAATGCAGGTAGTTGCGACAATGTGAGAATCTCGTTCCACTCGGTCGGACCAATCCTGACACCACTCTCCTACTCTACCACACCTCCTTCAACTTAACTCGCCATTCAGCTGGGGGCTCAGCCGGCCCTTCAGCTTTCCCCCTAGGTCCAGTCAACAGGAACCCCAACTCCGCCTCATCTAACACGCAACAGACCTCCTGACAACACCTCCGCCACACTCCTTACCAATCTCATTATCCCCTTGCAGGATCTTGAGACACAACGAGAAGGAAAACAGCAGCTTGTGGGCTTCGAACAGAGCACGACAGACGTTTTGGTACACTGAATAGGTGAGGTAGTCGTTGAGTATGTTCAACCGCTCCTCCAGAACCTTAACAGGGAAACAACAACCTCCCTAGAACGTATAATTGTAACTATGTAGCTGGATAGCACTACTTGTATAGATTTAAAGAGTTATAACTATATACATTTAACTCTTATATAACTATTAACGACCATCTACAGTGAAGGATAATACTCAATATTTTGTTGTATAGTTTATCGATCTAGTAATAGAAATACTAGGTCTTCGTGACGAAGAGGCGGAGTTCGAGTACTCCCCATTCGGAGTTCGAAAGTTTAATAATCTCATTGATTTATTGAAACTAAGACTCGCAATCTAGGAACATCCATAACGTTAACAACAAGTTAAAAATATCATTGGGATGCGAGACTCAGAAATCGAGCCTCCAAATCTCTCCTCACCTCAAAAAAGAGTTATGACTATATAAGCTCAATCCTCATATAACTATAAACGACTATGTACAGTGGGGAATAATATTCAATATTAGGTTGTAAAGTTTATCGATATAGTAATACAAATATTATAACAGTGATAAGATGATAAAATTTTTTCTATATAGATCTCAGTATATATGCGAATATTATGCAATGCATCACTTTCTCACCCTCTTTATGTGTATCGGCAAGGTTATTCAATCCACAGAAAAACATTCTAGTGTTGAAGAAGTATATGTTTGATTTCCTCAGCTGAGCTGGGAAGTTTCCTCATCACGTTATGAGGATCTACACACGACTTCGAGTAGAAGTGCACCAAAACCAAACACTACTTTCCTCAAATTTTCTCACAATTTCCACATAGTCATAGTTGGGCATGAAAATGTTCTCTACTCCAAAATGTTCTCTACTACTACTACTACCACACTAAGAACACCCCCCAGCACTTCCCCACCTCGCTCTTGGGTGCATTATCAATTCCCAAACTTAGCAGATTTTGATACCATTGCAGAGAGAATTGATACATCGGGTCGATCGTAATAAGCTCGACGATACAGAAGAACATCAGACTGGACCGGAACGCCACGAGTCTATACGATGTCCGTGCCTCATCGATCTCCTTCTCCGTCACCTATCACAACAAAAGCAACAACCATTAACAACAACAGCAACAGCAACAGCAGCAGCAGGAACAAGAACAAGAACAAGAAAGAGAACAACAACGACAACAACAACAACAACAACAACAACAACAACAACAACAGCAACAACAAAGACGACAACAAAGACGACAACAACAACAACAACAACAACAACAACAACAACAGCAACAAAGACAACAGCAACAACAAAGACAACGTCAACCAAGACGACGACGACGACAACAACAACAACAACAACAACAACAACAACAACAACAACAACTCACCTTAGCCTCCTCAACCTTAGTATTTATCACCGCGCTCGTCTCTTTACTCACAGCCAGCGTATTAATCAGTGTTTCATCCTCCAAAAT